TATTTCATAAATATTGTAAACTTTTTTAATTGTTCAGTTAGTTATTTTGATATTTTAAAATTACCAAGCACAGGCTCCATATAGTTAGAATTCAAAACAGCGCCTGGATAGATTCGTGTTTCAAGGTTGCAAGGCTTTTACTTTTCCACATTCGTAAAAAGAGATTAAACATAAATACATAAAAAGTATTATATATTATATATATATACGCCTCGTGAGTCCAAAACTTTTGACGGCTAGATGACGAAAAAAATACATGCATATATATAGCTATATATATACATATACGTTTCGGTGCTATTTTTTTTGAAAAGAAATAAACAGTAAACAAAGAGCAACTCCGCTGCAAATATGCTAAAAAAAACTCTGATTGAGTGTTTAAGAACAACTTGGTAACAAAGTTTTGTTGAGTTGAAATGATTCAAATCGCTATCCTTTATATATATGTATAGTATCCCTAACATGTGAAAGTTTTAGGGATTCGGTGTATATATATATATATAATAATTTTTATGATAATTTTTGATATGCATTTGATATACTTGTATATACTTATTTCAATAAAGYTAGTCACCAAAAAACCTAGTAAGCTGAGATCACTGAGGATCATGGGAAACTTTTAATATCAAACAAGTAAAGCTTTTGATACAATTTGCAGCTTGAGGATGCTCAGGAGAGGTGAGACTGTAGCTGGTAAAGGATCTAAAATCCATCAACAGTTATTAAAGCGGTTGAAACATGTAAAATGTAACTACCCATAATCCTTGTTGGTCTCAGCTTTGTAGCTTTTCAGGCGACTAACTTTATTGAAATAAGTGTATACACTTATTTCAATAAAGTTAGTCACCTGAAAATCTATAAAGCTGAGGCCGACTTCATGGACTTGCGAATTTTTTACCAGTTACAGTCTCACCTCTTCTGAGCATCATCGAGCTGAGTTTGTATTAAAAAAGCTTTGTATATATATGCTTTTGTAATATAAAGTTTCCCATGAGGCTCAGTGATCTCAGCTTTCTAGGTTTTTGCTGACTAACTTTATTGAAACAAGTGTATGCACAAAAGGGTCAAAGTTTATTTATTTGAAGGACCAGAATTAAAACATTCCTTTGGAGTCGACACAGTTTGATAATATTAATAGAAAGTTCACTAAGAAGTTGCCTCGATAAAGTTTTTTTTTAAGGTTCGCGAGTTATTTAGAGTACTAACTATATGAATTCATTGGACCAGTTTGCATGGTGTTTTTTTGATTCCCTAAAAGTCAAAATGTATTTACATCTGTGTACTCAATTTAGAACGTAAAAATGAAACATTCAGCTTTACCTGTAACAGGTGTAGTATAAAACACGCCTTCCAAACTAAAGAACCCATGTCCAATTTTTTACTGAATAAAAAAACTACAGCTTGTTTTAAAGATCCATCCTGGAATAAGGACACGAAAGACAGCGTAAACTACTAATGAAGCTATGAGTTTTTAGGATAATGGAGTAGGATATTAAATATTAAGTGAATGCGTTTTCTTTGGTATAATTGACAAATGCACTCTTTTTGTTTGCACTTAAAAAGGATAACAGATACGATGAATAGGATAAAAGAATCGAGACTCCAGAGCTGGGAGTTGGGTGCACTACCGCTAATTAAGTAAAAAAAATATTAATTAAGTTCTTAAAATTTGGTTTTTGAAATCTAAGTTCGACGAAAGACCAGCGTCCGCAACGTTAGTACAGCTAGTTCCAATATTTTCAACTCGGTGTTTGAGTTTCTAAATGTTCGGGCATTCTGGATTTTCGATTCACGAGTTGAATTTTACATTTAAAGTTCAGGCTGACGCACACGAGGCAAAGAATACATAATGAAACACGTGATATTTCTTTTAGTCTAAATGTGTAAATGTGTAAATGTCTTTTTTCAGTGGACAACGTTAATGATATTGACTGTATATTCAACACACAAATGCGGTCCCAACAATTTGACCGTTAGTTAGTTATGTCATAGCCGCCATGTTGGTTTACGATAACAAAGCATTCCTCATTAGTGTCTCTGTTTAACCATGCAACATGGATTCCGTTTCATTGTTATTTATATCTCAAGGTATGACAAAGCATTCCTGATTAGTGTCTCTGTTAAACTGACCAGCATAGCTTCCGTTTCATTGTTATTTATATCTCGAGGGATTTTAAGCCATGTGCTTGCGCCCCAAGTATAAGTTAATCAAGGAAAAGATAAGCAAACTCTCAGTCAGAGGCTATGGGCTGGGTGGCGAGTGCACTAACTACAACAATCTTAGCAAACGTTTAAGATTATGATAACTTCAGGTTTTGCTAGTATTATTTTGCATACAATGAAATTCATGCCATCGCAGTAGTATGTAGCATATATTTTTATCTCATTCATCTTCCAAACTCAACAAGAGGTTTTTCTTCTGTTTTACTTGCGTCYTTTGGGGAATTTAATAAGTGGTGAGCAAAAACACCCAGAAACTAATTTAACGATATCCTCGGCTCTCGATTGAGTTCTTGATTACGCATACGACAAAATAGTTAAGGAACGACAACTACTTCTACCTTGTTCAATCAAAAATTGCGTTCATGTATAAAAAGTGCAAACTTGCTACCAGGTGTTCTTTAGGACGTTCACGGGAAAATGCGAAGTAAATGTCAATTTTCTTAAACTTTGCCAGTTAATAAAACACAAAATAAGCCCTAAAAATAGGGAATCACCGTGCAATCTTATGAGTTTATCAAAAGTATCTCGTCATTCGTTCAAATGATTGCTTTTTTCGTCCACCAATTGTGTGTAAGCATGATGGGTAGCAGAATGGGTCTCCAACTTCTAGCGCTGTCTTACTTTAAAAACTCAATCAATTTGTTTCGATAGTTACAGGGATTGGATAGTGATATTTGTATCCTGGTCGTGTTGCCATGTCCTGAGGATATTCTTCTGCTGTAGCATTGTTCAGCTCACATGTGGATAAGTTTGGATAGTAGTTGAAGGTCTGACATGTAGTATATAGCAGGCAATATCGAAAACAAGTCAGACTATCCGACACTTGGTAGAGGCGTTGGAAGACGTGGTTACAGAGAACAAGTGGCTGTGGATTTTCTTGAAACATCCTGCTGGGTTTCTCTGTTCATGAAAAAAAGAAACGACAGGGTATCAAAATCTAGATAATAAATTGCACAAGAAATTCGTCTAGGATTAGCTGGCTTACCGTTGTGGTAGTGTTGGACACAATATCTCGCTGACCAGGACAAGGCGAGTTTCTTAAGTTTGTAGACATAGAAGGAGTAACAGTTGCGCMCATAAATGTACGTACTAAAGTGGCAGCAGTTACCGTTGGCATGAAAACAGAGCTTTCTTTTGACAATACCGTCAGCAAGAGTTGGAAAGTTACCCTCCATGTATCCTGTAGCTGTAGCACCGCAACGGTTTTGTGGTAGACACTTGTTTGGAATACGATAATAGCCTCTTGYACCGCGGAACACGTACCAATCATTCTCAGTCAAGTTGGTRTCATCTTGAATGAGGKYTRATGTTAATTTGGTTGATAAACGAGAATCATCGTCAAGATATCGATGGTTGGTGCACACCTCAGAACTATCTGTAACAGGAATGTTGAACTTTTATCAGACTGATTAAAGAGTTGGTCTATCACACTTGAGACTGGAAGAGGAATAACCTTACCTTTAACTTGCAGATGAAGGGTCTTTGTGTTAGAACCAAGAGCATTGGTAGCAGTACAAAGATATATGCCTTGATCAGTCTTGTTGACGTTTAAGAGACTGAGATGAGTGTTGCTAGAACTAGATTGGATAAGTTTTCCTTTGTGTGTCCAGATAACCGTAATAGGCGAATCCCCTACGGGTTTACACTGTAGAGTGACGTCTTGGTGTTCGTATGTAACGATGTTGGGTGAATCAGCTTGATTAGCAAAGACGGGACTACCGAGGGGTCCTACCCGGAGAGAGAAAAGGAAGATTTGTTAGTAGTGTTTAAAAAACGAGTAGGAGTGTTTTATCAGGTATAAAAGCACGAGGCGTAGCGGAGTGCTTTTATACCTGATAAAACACGATCTACGAGTTTTTTGAACTGCTTAAAACACTCATGAACAATTTATAAGATTTTGGTTCAACTGGAGCCACCATACACGTCACGAACATGGATTTTTATACTTCGATAGAGATTTGACGTCACGGGCATGCGCAACCAGATTCAATAGAAGCTCCCACACGTTGGATATAGCGTGCCAAGGCAAAGACAGGCACGTTAGTCAAAGTTCATTAGGGTTGACTATGACCTTGATCAAGCTCTATGTCTTCATCTAAACTTGGATGCATACTTCATCCCTGATGAAGTCATCCTCATAGTATTCGAGTGGTCTTTATATAAAATCACTYGAATACTAATGAAGAGGACTTTATCGGGTATAAAGGTTCATGGACGTGACGTGTATGGTGGCTCCAATTGGACCATAAGCTTATGAATTATTAATGAGTGTTTTAATGATATTTCAGTGACAGTTAGCCAGAACTTAATGGGTTGTAAAGAAATGTTGATACCTTTTCTTCGACCAAGAATCGTCGACCTGAAACAAACAATTTTATCTGGAATCCAAGTCTTTGGATGAATTCTTATCCATCGTGCTTCGATATCCCTGTCCAATGTCCTTGTAACATATCCGATATCATTGGTATTTCCTTGAAAAGTCTGGAATGGAACAAAAAGATGATCATGGAGTCTGTCTTAAGAACTACAAAATTATAATAGACAGTTGTATTTTCATGCCTTACTCATAGAAAAATGATTACTGTTACCTTAACCTGCGAAGCAGCATTGTCTTTATAAAATATAAAATTGATGTTGTCAAGGCTATATGACACCTTTAAGAGAAAGTGGAAGGAGATTTATTGTTATTTATTGACAATAGGAAAGTAGTGCAAAATATGCCAAGTAATATTCTATATTATAGTGTAAGAAATCACACGACCTCGAATACAATTCGTTATTCTAGGCACGACTGAATGATGTTTTGAATGTTCTTGTAATTGCACTAGCCTTAGGCGAGTCCAGTTTAAAAACGTTCAATACTTTACGAGTACATGTACAGGGCTCGAAATAGCGGCCTGCCAATGGCCAAATGACAGGCCAAATTTCAGGTTTGGCAGGCAAAAATAACGATGCACTGCCAGATGAATAATAAAATGACATGCAAAATTTACTGGAATGACCTCCTTTTACCCTGCTCCTTTACTTTGGCAGGCTGAAAAAAATTTCTATTTCAAGCCCTGATGTACATTAATTACGAATTGTACGAAAAGGTCGTGCGATTTTTCATTGATGGTACACGCGAAAAAATATTCGAAGCGAAGGCACTTAGTTGTCACCAGAATAGTTGTAAAAGTTTTAGTATTATATATAATTATATTTATTACATATTCATTATATATGTTTTGTAGTTAAAAACATAGCTATAAAATTTTATTATGTGGATCCCAAAGCAACTTAATAGGAACTTCTACGTTCAGAATCAGAATCGGGTAATTTTCGTGTGTACTATAAGTAATAATACTGTATTAAAAGTGTCAAAAAAACATATGGATCTTGAATCATGGTAGATTTATTGGTTTTTAAAGACCTTTGTGGTGATTTTGTTTGTGACATTATAGCTGGTGACGAACACGCGATATTCCTATCTTTAAAAGTAAATGGAATTACCTGGTATCTCGTCACCCATCGGGCAACACCATTTCCTCTTCCTTGCGTGACTATGCCCGTTACGAGCATTACGTGACCAAAGTCAAACATTAGCCAGTGGTTTCCACTTTTTGTTTTAGGACACCAAGAGTAAGCGCCTGTTGCAGAATTCAACCTTCCTTTATATGGTTCATGGTCTGAACCAAAGAAAGACGAAGCTGTTATCTGGTTATTGGGTATTTCTTTATCTTCTATACCAAGATCTGCAGGAGAGGCTGGGTACCGGAAATAAACAACATTTAGAGATTTCAATGATTAAGTAGATAAGAAAGTTTAAAAGGGTGTGGTACTTACCTCGACCGTATGTGAATACTTCTACCCTCATTGATATGTGTTGATTCCAGGTGACGGGGTTAAATCTGACAAAGCGTACATATATGACAGTCGGTAGGACGTGGCGGACTACAGTTTCGCTATCTGAATTTCCAGTAAATACCTGCGTGTTGACATTTAAATTTAAGACTGTTAATTTTTATGCTGTTAGCCTCGATATTACCGGTCATATACACGAAGTCGAAATATGGCGACCAATTTGAATAAGTATTGTTGTAGACTGACTAGCCTCACGTTTACATGGAAATATAAAAACGTTTTCACAGGTATGAGAGGTAGTCAGTCGCTAGTCACCCCAGAACAATAGATATTTCGATTCGATATATGAGTCAGTTTTAATTTTATATAGAAGGTTTCATAGTTTACGTCACATGGTGGCGTGGATTGACTACTTTTAACGGCCGACGGTCGAAATCAATTCAAACCACGAAATATTATTGCCATTTGTTAAGGAATTAACATTTTGGGCTAGACAATACATTTGAAGTTTTATGTCTGCTCGTTTCCCTTTTTCCAAAATTATTATAACGTGAGTTACGATAGTTTTTGGTTAGAGTGGTTTTTATTAACCCATGAAACAAAGTGTACTAATTAGAGTGAAATAGTTGGATAAACATAACTGAAAACAAAAGAATTAGAGTGTAATAGTTTTAGATAAGCTAAAGTGTATTTCACAGGTTTATGAAAACCACTCTATAGTTTTCCTTTACAACCAACATGATCAAGTGTTGTCAAAAAAAAAGTCCATGAAAGCTCCCACTGTACTAACCTTCCTAACACCTCCTTCCAGGTATTCAGTCCACAAGACTGTATTATTACCATACGACAGGTAATAGCTTGTCACCCTCTGATTATGAGCATGTCTCCCTTGTGTTGCAATGGCAGTGACAAACTCCATTCTGCTCAGACCAATCTGCAACCACTGATTCGTGTCTACTGTTCCAGCCGCCCAGGTTTGGCTCGAACCATATTTGGTCCAATGTAAGCGGCCATATGTGCTTGGGTGTGGCACTGAACCACTCCAATATGTAGAAGCTGTAACAAGGCTGTCTGGTATTTCTCCACTCATCATCCCCAGGGGAAGCGTTGGCTCTGAATTCCAAGAAAGAATTTTTACTTTCTTTTCTTTACATAATATCAATGCATTTTAACCTACTTGCTTCGCAGCCGTACAATTCGGTTCTGATGCACACGTGACTAAACCAAGTCTCTGGGATTATTTGGACATAACGAGCAGCGGTGATCGTCTGTAAAGTCTGGATTGTGACCTCTCCCCTGTTGAAGTTCCCTGGGAACTAGACATTATCACAACTCATTAGCATTAGTTTATGAAAATTCTTTACGATGTAAAAAGATATACTGCGTTCGACTCCCTCTCTCCAGACTCGGTTTCAAGTCCTGGTTCAAATCTAGATCGATTGCTTGGATTCGATTCTTAGCTTTGACGTGGTGTTTTTATTTGAGCTGGACCCATGTGATCAGAAGCGGATCAAAATAGCAGTATGGAAATAGAAACGGGAAAGTCTATTTTGTACTATATGTAGTCTTACACAGGCCTTACATCAGACAAATAATCAAAAGTTCTACTTACAATTCGCTTGRCTCCATTCTCAAGATATGTCAACCAACGTCCTTTAAGAACTGCATAGGACAGACTAAAGGTTTTAACAAACTCGTCGTCATTTGGGTTTCCTTGTATGGCGACAGACTTGATCAATGTGACGAGCCCCAAGTCTATTTCTAGGTGCTGGTCAGCGTCAGCTTTACCAGCACACCAGACATGCGTGTTGTGGAGTCGGGCTTGTTGAGGACCGAAGGTAGTTAAAGGAAGTCTTGAGGTTGAAGCAGTTAAATTGACTTTACTGGACTGGATCCCTAGGATCTCATTGCAGTCTTAAAAGAAAAAAGAAAAAAATCTTTGTATGGGAATTTTCTCATAATTCTTTGAAAGCTGCAAGTTATCATTCCAGTGTTTCTTTTCATGCGTTTATTTATTAAGAGATATAATGTATTTTATTATGAAGTTCTTCTTTATCATGGTATGTATAGTGCAGTCAACATTCCGGTCTTACCTTTATCAATAGCGGTGCTAGCATCCAGTAACTATATTTGGTAGAAAAGTTAGAAAAAAMTATATTCTAAATATATTCTAAAATATAATAGAAAATTAAATAAATGTAAGGCAGTACTGGACAAACTTGCGCGATATAAGAGCTTCTGAGCACAAATACATTCACTCACAAGCCATAAACAAAGTTAAAAAATTATCACTAATTGCTGAGCACTTTTAAGAAGCAAAATTGATATTTTTATTGGAATCAAAGTATTGAACAGGAAACCACAGTGTTCCACAGTTCACTCAAATTTAGTCCAGCRGTAAACCTATGGTTTCAGCTGCAACGACCACCAACAAAAGGGCTTTGTATTCTATTGGTGCAATGTCGGACAATAAACAGTATGCCTTTAAAGTAATTAATTATATCTGTTATATCTCAAACGCGAAGAGGTGCGAACTAACTTAAATAAAATTAAATTTCAACAATTTTCGGAAGATCTTTTCACTTTTTTAAAAATTGAAAATAGCGTAAATTCATGGATATAATTTATTTTTGACTTCTTTTCTTAATTTGTGTAACTATTTTAAGGCTTTTAGTAAAAACTGGTGAGCAGCGTTAAGCAGTGTTGCGAAACAAATCGCACGCACATAGTTGCATGTGTTGTATTATTAGCGTTTCCAGAGCTGCAAACGCGTTGAATCACGAGGCTGTCTTATAGGTCGCTTTTAATATTAATATGGCGTCTTTTTCGCTTACTGAAAGCAAAAAAATGATGAAAAATTTATGTATAAAATGTCAACTAACTGAGTAAAGCGTTGATAAAAACAACCCTAAGATGTAACCAATTTTTACAACTCCGAAACGGGTAATAGTTTATTGAGATTCCTTGACGAGAAAGATTGACAGAAATCTTAAAGGTACTTTCCAAGCTACCAAATTTGTCAGTCGCCGGCAAAGCAAGTCGGATCAAGGATTCTACACACTAATTCACGAGTTATATAAGTGTAGAAGGGAGAGGTTCTTAAAAAGTTAATTGTTGGAAACTATATGATATTGCTGAGCCGATTTAAGTGCTAAAAATAACTTAAACTTCCTAAACATATAACCAATATAATAACAATTTTTTTTACAAATTTGTGCAATTTTGCTTGCCATCTACTGATATCGACTTCATATTCTTACAAAGTTATAGATAAAATCTAGAAATTATATTGGATAGAACATTTTGAACCAAAATTTTACTGACCYTCACTGCGTGAAATAAGAAGTACCCGAACCAGAGTTTTAAAAACATGTCGGACAGTTCAAGATGACGTCCAATTATCACTCAGGTCTGAATGAAGCGGTGTATGTGCCTGAGTCAGTAAACTTTAAGTCCAACCCTTAGTAACCTCTGGAGTTTTCTTCTATTACTTAGATATAGGGTTTTTTTGTGTGTGTGTGGCTAGGTACTAGTGAGACAGTTAATAATTTATGTAATATATACATAACACAACATATACATGACGTATGAACTCAATCCGAAGGTTAATTCTTTCGCGTTTCACTAAGATTTTCAAGATAAAAGTGAATCTGTACCCCATTCTCCCCTCCCCCCTCCAAATGTTAAACGTTTATGTAGAAGAACATGATTTTTTATCATAATAAAACTCTTCACTTCAATGATCTCCTATTAGGTATAGGGTTTTTTGTGGCTACATCGATTCATGGCAGTGATTCCTTGAATTGGAGGAGTGTAATGGAGCTAAATCTAGGCTGTTATTGATAGCTAACAGCTCGTCAAGCGTAATGATGAAAATGGTGAAAAGCTTTGCTAGTGAACGTTCTGGATAGTTAATAATTTATGTAATATATACAATATGACATATGAACCCGTTCCGTCGGTTAATTCTTTCACTAAAATTTTCAAGATTAAAGTGAATCTGCTAAAGTTTATGCAAAAGAACATGATTTTATATCATTATAAAACCCTTCACTTCAAATATCTTTTCGTCTCTAATAGGCCATTTCACGGATGCCGTTACTCAACCTCAGCCTAGTCAGCGTGTAATATATTCTTTAGAAATTGCCTACAACCTGTGAAATTTTTAAGTGTTTCAATTGTTCGTTGATGTGTAAATTCCTTTCATTACTGCGGACTGTAGTCAAATTCTAAAGAATAATTACGCGCTGACGAGGCTGAGGTTGAGTAACGGGATCCGTGAAATGGCCGATTTTCCGATTTCTAGATTTTTTCGTAATTTTACAAGAAAATGATGTTTATATAAAGTTATTGTTCAAGTTGCAAAAATCATTGTCTTTACTGAGAAGAAAGGGTCATAGAGTCATAGTAACTAGTAGAAAGGTTTCCTGAATGATATTTGTAAAGAATCTTTATATAGACACAAGTCTTTTGTTTTCTTTTTCCGGTGACAAATGGCCGGATTTTTAATAATGGAAGGCAACAGGGAACCCAAAAAGAGTTGTTCTAACCGTACGTAGGGGTCTGCAAACTCTACCATACCAAGTACATTGCTAAGGTAATATACCTTTTTAGTATACCTTTTTAGTAAAAATACACAGGTGATTATTGAAAATCGCGCGCGCTGATTGGTCGAGAATCACACGATAATCACCTCCAGTGATAACCCAAAGTGGCGGCCAGCCGCTTCGTTGCTGTTGCGGGGAAAAAATGTCTTTTTTTTTTTTTTTTTTTTTGAAAGAATCACCTGTGTATTTATACTAAAACAATTATTTGCCTTAGACTCAGTGAATATCGGAGAATATTTACCTCGCGTCTCGGTAACGTTTTCCCATTTTAGACCACGTGTCATCCCCTAGAGAATAAGATTGATGTTTCTTCTCGACCGTTGAACAAATCGATTATACTCCTGGTAATGACACTTGGTTTAAAATATGGGGAGGGGGAGCAGTAGGGTTAAACCCAAAATGCTTTGCACGCCTGGATCTGCCTCGGAAAAGATTATCAAAAGAATTGGGAGTCTGAAAAGTCTCAGATTTCTCGATTTCATAAGTTAACTGATGTTTATTTCAGATCAAATTCATTACACTACACAGTAGATTTACTTGTGTTAAAGTATTTAACGTGTTCACAAATGAATTGATGCAATCCATATATTACTTTTGGCATAATTGTATGCATCGAAAAAATAACTGTACACTTATTTTAGAAATTGATTAAAATTTCATTGTACATAATAAATATCACTTGATTCTTGTATTCTCCATTATGAGGGAAATTTCATCAATGATTGCCTAATCATTTTTTGGTTCTATAATAAATATGTTGATTTTTGTATAAATACATATTCAGACCAAAGCAATCGAACGCTGATACACTAGTATGAATATTTGATTTTAAATMATCTGTAGCGAGTAGATTATTTACAATTATGTTTATAAATTAAAGCTTCATTTCAATTTTTTGAGGATCTATCAATTTCAAAATTGGTCATTGTTTAGTCAGCTTTTTTTYCAAATTCCAATAACTAAATATATATATTTATTATATAGATATCGATGAAATACCAGGTTTTCTCTAGTGTCGAAAACTTGATATCTTTCACCAGTGGAAGAAACCATATCTTTCACACGTGAAGATATCGCTGTTGAATCGGCTTGCTATTCTAAAAAAGAATTTTTGAGCTTTTGTTTTATTTAAGTTTCATCGATATCTATATAATAAATAGGACATTACATTGCCGCTTGGAGATACGAATTTCATCTTCTCGTATTCAATTTAGATATCTCACTCGTTCGCCTCGCTCACTCGTGAGATATCAATTGAACACTCGAAGATAAAATTCGTATCTCCGCGCGCTCATGTAATATCCTCTATATTTTTTTCTTTCTAATGGCTCAGCAAGAAATCAGTTTACATTTCTTCACTCTTATCTTAGTAAAAAATGTTTTACCATCGCGTTTGATCAATTTAAACTGAAATTCATACCAACAGATGCGATTCTTAGCACAGGGTGAGGCTCGCCGTACACGGGAATGACCTTTGGATAAATAAAAGATAATATTAGTATTAATATTAGTATCATTATCAGATGCAGTAGAGTTTTATGAACGTACAGAACAACCAACTTACTTGTACCAGGTTATTAACTGATTAATTGATTAACTGTAAGGCTGGTAATACGACAAGCAGATGTATAGATTTTTTCTCACCTGTGTCACGTGACTGTCTCACCGACCCAGTCTCCTCGATCTTTTGTATCCAGTAGATTGAGCTTCGAGCACACATCATCGCCATCTCTTCATTTAGAAGAGATCGCTGGGTGAAATCTTTGTCCACTCTCCAGGTCGTGATTTCCCTTAATTCCAGTTCGTTATCTTCACGTAATTTCTGCTTAGAATAAAGAAATAGAATCGATTAATTGATTAAACAAAAAAGGAATAAATAAACAAACGGCTATGAATGATGGATGGATGGATGGATGGATGGATAGATATCAATAAATCCTATCAGATACTCACGCTCTCAATAGCCGCTTTTAGATCGTCTGGAGAAGCCTCTGTCGTCAATTTGGAAAGGTAACAGGCATTTTCAGATTTCTCGTGTATCATAGTCAATTTCTAAAAAGATATTTAATAATAAGATATAATTAGAACCAACATATCGTAATCTTTGATTAAAACAATAATTATGTATATTATTTAGTATATTGCTCTTGAAAAGAATCGGCATTTAAACAGACAACAAATAATCCTAGCATTTTGATCGTAAGCTGAAAAAGGTTTCAATACAAAGTCAATATGATCCAATCAGATTCGAGAATATACTTAAGTATATTATTTTGGCTGCAACGAAAATGCAAGATGCTGAAAATCGATTCTTTATAATTGAATTTGAAGAAAAGCAATTAGACACTAATGGTTTTTTTGCTTTTTGTTTTCACTTAATAATTATTTCTAATAAGCCTGAAGCGAGATGACGTTTAACCCCCGTCTCTAGACCATAATAGTTTTAAAAATTCTTTCATATTAAAATTTTTGATTCCTTAGAGAATACAGGAACAATAGTCATAATTAAAGACCAAAAGCAGTGTGAAAAGGATTATGGTCTAGAGACGGGGATAAAACGTCACCTCGCTTCAGGCTTATTGAGGTCTTTCAATACTAACCTTAGAAAAGTCTTGCATGACCTCAATCTCGTCCTTACTACCGTGGCTTGGAACTCGAAAATACTCTGTTCCAGCAACTGGGTCAATTTTTACCTTCTCATTCAACACGTGTCCATTGTTAAGTTTCAATTGAAGATTATACTGAAATGCAGATAAGAAATCGTACTTAGTTTCAAGCTATCAGGGCATTTGCAAATATGTCTGGAATTTGTTCGGGATTCTTTATGAATTCGACTTACCTCATTTTGTTTTTCCTTTGGTTGCAATGGAGCAGGGGCCGACTTTGTGTTATCATAAAGACAAAACCATAGGAGCATTATCAGTGATGTTGAAATCTTCTGTGAATTAAGAAAAAAATCATTAGAGATCCAAGTAGATAAATTAAAGATTACCGCTGACTCATAATATAAGTTCACCCTTAGCTTGCTAACGGATTCAAGTTGACTAGTGCTTACTCCTTGAATCTGTTTGAGCTTTTAGCTCTAGGTATTAGTTGACTTTATGTCAGAGATTTTTTAAAGAGCCCATCTGAATAAGAACCCAACATCTTAGTAAACTTTTTACAATTCGATTATATAAAATATTGCTATGCACTTACCATTTCTCTTGTTTGTATATATCGTTTTGAATATTTATCTATATTATTCTCAGTCTTGACTTCTAGTGTTGACTAGATTGCTGCAAATTTGTTAATGTGGAGAGTCTAACGATGGAGAGTTTTTATTTCCACTTTATAGCTATTTTTAGCAAGAGAGTGATGTCAACAATTTTCCCCAACATTCCTTTCAGTACCTTATTCTCAAGACATTACAACTGAAATACGAAGGCGGAACTTGAACCAAAGCGGAAGTTTGTACTTCACTTAGTCGCAACAGATTACGGATACATATACTATGTAGTATTAACTGAAACAGCTTTTTTCTCTCGTAATTTGCCTTATTCAAATGAATCTCAACAAGCCTCAACCAAGTTCTGTGAGTCAATAATAGCTGGTTTAATGCCCAAGTACCTGGAGCCCTGTTTTTTTTATCTACCTACGATTTACAAATATTTATTTTTGACCTTCATGTTCTTATTACAAATTTTGTTACTGCATGTCTTATGTTCGAGTTAAGTTTGTGTTCCGGTTTCAACTGTTGCAACCCCATACCGTTCGATCTACAAGATCATTCATGAAAAGTAATACGATACTTTAGTATCTCTAAATAATATAGATTCCAGCAAATCAAAGAGTTTATAAATGAATTAAAGTGGCTAGATTTTACTCTAATAATTCTTCTTTGACAGATCATACTCAATATGGATCCCTCAATATTTACCCATATGCTATACTCCGTTTTGATTCTACTAAATAACATTTAAAAGGGGCTTAATCATCTTAAGAACTCATTAAATTGAGAAAACGTTCAATACATTACTTAGTGTAAGATATATTCACCTTATACTCACAAGTACCGACCCTGGGGTTTTTATTCAAGCAACTAGTAATATTAAGTACGTCACAGTTAACCTAACATTAAGATGAATCATCTCGCGCTGCTAAAAAAAGCATGTTTTTTGGTCTAATCATGACGTCAAAGAGCGATTATTTGACTTTTTACTAGTCTTCAAGTGTTTTAAATTCTTCCTTTGATTGTTCGTCAATATTATCAATGTATAAGGATGTATAAATCAGATGATTTTAGTATACCGAACAGTGCCTTCGCATATAGTATGTATATTTGGTGAAAGTTCTTTGTTGGTCTTGATGTTTTATCGTGATGTGTATCTTAATGATAAAAGTCCCATTAATGCTATAATAGAAAGATGACCCTTGCATCGTCATTCGACTGTATATAATTCAAGTAGTTTTACTTGAAGACAAAAATGACATCACTAAAATAGCGTTATTTATTGCCACATCATCAGATCCATGGTTCAGTGGCAGGTTTACGTTTGGTGAAGGGCTCACACAACATGATTATTATTAAATTTTATTTCATGGCCAGTTATTGTGTATGTGTAGATTTGACTGTCACACATTAACGAAGTAACTGATTTCGTATTTATGGCTTCAATCAATCTAAAATATAACAATATAATAGTAGCATGATTTTTTTTAAATATACATTGAAAACAAATAAAAGAAGGAAAAGGAAAAGTAAAAGGAAAGGGAAAAGGCGTGGGATGGCAGTTTCCGTCGTCCATGAAGCCAGATATATGTCTTTTCCGGTATATCGTTTATTGCAGGTGGGGGAATCTGAATAAAGGCTTAGTCAAGTGTAAAACAGGTGAACTAGAAATTCAAGAATAGAAATCATATCTCACTAATGATGCAACTGCTGCGCCAGACCCTCTCCCTTGTACGGTACCGATGCCAGCAAGCGCTCGAGATACCAAAATAGACGAGTGACTAAACACGCAGTGAAAACAAAAGGCTTTGACGGCTGAATTGGTATCAGTCCAATTTATGCATGCCAGCCCAGAAGTGGGTCTCGGTGCATCTATGTCAGTCCTCATGCGGACCTGCAAGTAAGTTAGTGGTAGTCGATCAAGAATAGTTCAATATTCAAATCAATTTATATTTTTAACTTTCTGTTTATTGTAGATTTGAGGCTTATTATTAGTTCAAGTCAGACAGAATGACGCGCTTTAACCAAACCACTTCCTGCAAGTTTACGGGATTCACGTAAGCATTTGACGATTTAGCATACGATCCGTAGCAACAACGACTAACAGGAAAACTCAAAACAGGCACAAAATTCTTTTGGAAAACTTGTGAATGAGCTAAAGATTTCCAGGAAGTATGAGCTAATGGAAGTAAGTTAGTGACACATCGTCACTTAAGGTGGCTGGACCCCCTCACGCTTGACCGCTACCTTCCACTTTTGGAAAGCTGGTTCATAAACGTGTTTTATCCGATTGCAAATCTTTTTTGCACATAAGTCACATAAAGATTGAATTAATGTTTGATGTAATTTTTAGTGAGATCGGACGTCATAACACGTGATTATGATGAAATATTTGTTTTCGTTTAGAAAATAATTTTAGCCTTGCAGAGCGTTCAACACTAAAATGCTTCGTACCACATAATTATATACTAAATGCCTCCATTTGTAGGGATTTTTGAAAAAATCTATATAGCTAATTATGAGATATTTGAGATTATTTAAATATAGTGCRTAATCTACTTCAAAACTAAACAATGGATTTSATACGGCCGAAATTAATATTTCAGAGCTATATATTCACAAAAGTCATTGCTCATTTAGTTTTACTCTGTATCTAGTTTTAAAAGGAACATTTTGAAGGTATACTTATGCGATTTTGTGAAAACGTATAGTGCAGAAGACGGGGTAAACATTTGATGCGCACTTTTCATCGCAGTTTTCTAGTCAATCTTACTAGATCTTCCATTATTCTAAAATTCGCTGATCATTTCTCTCAAAACTACGTCAGGATACAAATTAGAACTTAAACTGATATTACACAAAATTGCAAGACTATTGAACTCATTTAAAGCGATCTAAAGCGAATGAGAAATACAGAAAACATTGATCGTTTCCCAACGATTTGATGCTCTGGGAATTCTATTGTTTGCTAATGACCATAACACCAAATTCTTTCGCACCATGCACGGTCTGATCTCGCTTGGCCGCTTTCCGATTTACTCCCGAAGCATGGTAATACAGAGTTGTGTCAAACGTCCCACGTTTGAATAAAAAAAACTGCGTATTACCATGAGGGGGTCCAGCCACCTAAATTTTTTCTTTCATATCCTTAAAAATAGCAATCATGAAAACAATGGAATGAAATATAAAATTAGATAACGTATCAGGCTTCAGCAGCGTTAGGCGATATTCACTTACTTATTCCTTACTTATTGGAATGACGTTGGACGATTTTATGTATAAATTTCAAAAAACGTTATCAGCTGATACCTTACATTTGCTCACACATAATAGTCGCTGCAGTATAAAAGTGGATGGATGAATCACCGTAAAACCCCTTCCCTCTCCCCCCCCCCCTCCCCCAAATGGGATTTTTTAATACTTTAATACTTTAATTCTTTAAGAGAGAATTCTTTTCGTATTCAAGCGGTGAGCGCCAAAAACTATTTTCTTGAAGAAAGGCTGTTGTACAAGGCTAAAATCTTGTTATTCAGAAAGTTTAACTTGTTTGAAAGTGGAGATGACCGATGAAAGTGGAATCAAAGTGTTAACCCAGAGCAAACATTTTATTCGAAAATGAGGTTTAGTCCTTCATTTGCTTATTTCCCATACATTTTCTATAAAAAAGACTGACAAAGCAACGTTCTAACACAAATGCAACAAAACATCTTTGTACAATTAAAAATACTGCTTCAAACAAGCATTTTATCATAGTACATCAGTTTCTAACTGTTAAAATATGTTTTGAGTGTTAACCCAAAACGAAAATTGGGATCAAAACTCATACGAAGGTCTATTTTTTGGCACTTTTTGCCATTATTGCTCGTTATCGAAAAACATTTCCTCTTAATGCTTTAAATATCCTAATACGCAGTATCCATATCCAGTGGCGAAGCCAGAACGATTTCRAGAGGATGACTATTACCTAGCGCATAACATAGCTTCCTTTTCAGGTCTTCCTTTACCCTTTATTCTTATTAGTTCTCAACTTAAAAGGGAGGTGACTAGTCACCCAATTCACCCCCTCTCTGAATCCTTTCCGGAACTCCAGGTGCGTGGCCAGGGGGGGGAGGGCAAAAACAGTTTTCAGAACATCGGTAAGTCGAACCTATCATGTAACTATATATATGCTTTGATGTTTCTACAGCATGAGGATTTGGGACCGGGCCCTCTTGTTGAACCCCCGTGGCTACGCCCCTGAACTCGTTTGTAAAATATTAATACTAACAATAAAATAATGATGATTAATAATCAATCAATAAATTGATTACTTTTAACTTGTGCACAACAAAGAAACAAAACCCATGCATATTATAAACTGGCCAGCATTAACAAACAATTCGACGACATCTTTTTACTTTTCTGCTGTGGAGGATTCTTCTTCCCCAGTAAGTAACAATTCTGTATTCTGTGACATACCAACAAAGGTAGCTGACACATAACGATCGAGGATCTTTGAAGAACTCTTAAAAAATGTGAATACTATTAGTAAGTAAAAGAGTACGTTTCGTCAATAACCCAGAATATAGAGGGGAGATGGGGATTTTGTAATGCATTTTGTAATTTTGGAGCATAGTTAAAAATCATACCCCACATTATATGTACTAGTGTCTATATCAGATTATGCATYGTTTAGATGAAATCTTGAATATTTCTCTCACCTGTGTCACGTGACTGGATCACCGACCCAGTCCCCTTAATCTTTTGTATCCAGTAGATTGAGCTTCGAGCACACAACGCAGCCATTTTTTCACTAAGAAGAGATCGATGGGTGAAAACTGCGTCCACTTTCCAGGTTGTTGTATCTTTCGATACAAGATCATCATTCGTATAGATGCTTTTCTGTTCACAATAAGTATACATACATTTATTAATTTCAATTTTAATTCTGGCGCCGAACCAAATCTTCTATGTTCTCAAGATTTTGTCTATTGAAATTATTGCTCTAAAAGCTTACATTTTCCATGAGGGATTTCAGGGCTACTGGTCTCGCCTCGAACAGCTGCTGTCTTGAAACGTAGCATGTTTTTCTCTTGCCATCGAATATTATGTCCAACTTCTGCAGTATATGAGAGCAAAGAATAAGCAAATCGAACAAGTATTGTTACTTGCTGGAAAAGTGCAAAAAAAAAATAAAAAGATAGAATATGCGTTATCGTCCCTGTGCCACCCCACCCCTCCCCTCTCCACTGTCAATCCTTGCTCATTCAAATCAGGTGAGTTTAGTTGAAGGGATTTTCTTTAAAGTGAAAAATATTCACCAACTTTTCAACACTTAGACGGTACAAAATGCCGTGACATTAAAATGGCTACTTATTAATTATATAATAATTTTCCGGTCACAGGCAACCGCTATTAATGATAAACAATTATTGGACGAGTAAAATATCGTGATTTGTTAGTGGCAAGGTAGCAATTATTTGCCGATGCCTGCGAGACACTAACAACCGAGATCAATAATTGTTTTATCATTCAAATTATTTTTTCCCGTTTTGTTTTTGCGTTTTGGCTGTATTTATTTATTTATTTATTAATCTATTTATTTATTTATTTATTATTTTTTGCTATCAAACATACCAAGTCAAAGGGAAACGAGCAATATCAAAAATGCATAGTTCGTAATTGCAGAGTATTATTCTCAGCAAAACGGCATTGTCTAATATAATGCGCATGAGCAGAATATTATTTGCAGTGTTCTCGGCCAACCAAAACGACGGAAGAATAACTTCTTAATGAATGATATAGTTTTTTGGGCGTCTCTAAGCAAAGCATGAAGCCGGTTACCTTAGAAAAGTCTTTGAATACTTCCAGCTTATGTTTTGGGATCAAAAATATTTCAGTTCCTCGTCTTGTGTCTATTACCAAGTCTTCTTCAAGCGTCACATTATGATTAGGCTGAATAATGTAAATTTTGTACTAAAAAGTAAAAAAATAACAAAAATCAAAATGTAGACACGTTAGTACAACCTTCATTATCGTAAAATTGTTTCTGACATTAGAATCAAGTCGAGAGTATTGTCCGTATCGAGGAATCGTCACGTATGAGACGTTATATATATTTCACCTTATTTACATTATTTGGCTTTGCCTTGTCCACAGGCTTGGATGTTAATGGCGCTTGCTTCGTATTCTGGGCTAGGAGGGCAAAGAAAAGAACCCACAATGCTGATTTAACCACCTGTSGCATTAAGAGACAAGGTAAGAATAATCTTGAGTCTTTTCTCAGGTTTTGAACTTTTTGTGCAGCCAGTATCGCGATATAAGACTCCTTTACACCTTTTGCTGTTCATTAACAGAAAATGTACATTCATTTGTGCCAATAGTTGTATCAATAA